TGTACATTTAACCCATTCCCACTCTCCGAACTCCTACAAGAAATCTAATATTACAACTTTTTTGTTTTTGGAATTTATGAACTTCAATATAATTATTAATTTATTACATCAGGAATTTCACAAAAGATTTAGAATATCTGAAATTTGACAACCATTCTCATAAAACAAAATAGGCTTTTCTTTCTAGAACTAGAAGTTGCATTGTAGCATAAAAACAAGACAACAAAAAACTTGATCCTCCTACAAATCCCTACTATTTTCCATAAATAACTTATCAGAATATTGTAACACACTGATAAAATTATATTTTGTACAGTTTCATCTTCTCAAAGACCACAACTGTCGAGACCAACATGGTAGCTGTTGGAATAAAGGATTCAAGAAAGATGAATTTTAGAAAACAAGAAGAAGAAGAAGAAGAAGAAGAGAGAGAGAGAGAGAGAGAGAGAGAGAGAGAGAGAGAGAGAGAGAGAGAGAGAGAGAGATTGTGAGTTAGTTAAGTGTAGCAAACTTTCTAACTGAATGAATTATTATTGCAACTATATGATTACAAACATAACGGCCCTTTATATAGACGAAATGCCCAAGCCCAAATACACATGATAAAAGCTCAAATAACTACATAACAATAATTAACCAACTAACACCCCCCTAATTCATGTAATCAAGACTTCTCATCCAGATGCCTTTCTTTAACTCTTCGAACCTCACTTTCTTCAGAGGTTTGGTAAACATGTAAGCTAATTGCACTTCTGTCTTGCAATGTTTTATTTCAAGCTTCCCTTTGTTGACTTGATCCCTCATAAAATGATACCTTTTTTTAATGTGCTTACTTTGACCATGACACACTGGGTGATTCACAAGGTTTATAGCTGACTTGTTATCAACAAATAGCTTCATCTTCGATTCCATTATTCTGAGTTCTTCAAGTAGCATTTCGATCCATGCTGCTTGGCATGCAACATATGACGCAGCCACATATTCTGCTTCGCATGATGACAAAGCTACAATTCTTTTCTTCCTCGAACTCCAGGAGATTGGAGCTCCTTCGATCATGAAAATGTATCCTGCGGTACTCTTCTTTTCGTCTTGATCTCCACTGAAATCTGAGTCAGTGTATCCATGAACTTCGACATCTCTGTTGTTTTTCGATTTCTTTGGTAACAACACATCATGATCAATAGTTCCCTTTATGTATCTCAAAACCCTCTTTACTGCGATGAGATGACATTCTTGAGGCTTCTCCATAAACCTGCTCAACAATCCTACACTTTGGCATATATCTGGTCTAGTATTGAAAAGATACCTCAAGGATCCAATGCTTTATTTGTAAAGGATCGAGATTACAAACTTATCATTCGATTCCTTTTCAGCTTTGCTCCAGTCTCTAATGGAGTAACAGCTGCCTTACAGTTGCTCATATTGAACCTCTTCAGTATATCTTGAGCATACTTCATTTGATGCAAGAAAACTCCTTCTCCGATGTCTTTGAATTCCATTTACAGGAAATAGGAGAGATTCCCTAAATCATACATTTCGAATTCCTGCATTAACTTCGACTTTACCTTCATTATCTGAGCTTCGTCTGCTCCTGTAATGAGTAAGTCATCAACATAGAGACATAAAATGATTCGATTGACACTTTAGACATCATTTGCATACACTCCATGTTCAGAGACACACTTTGTGAAACCTGCTTCGATTAGGAAGCTATCTATCCTTTTATTCCAAGCTCTAGGAGCTTGCTTCAAACCATATAGAGCCTTCCTTAATCTGTAAACTTTCAACTCATGCCCTTTGACGTCGAAACCTGGTGGTTGAGTCATGTAGACTTCTTCTTCCAAAGGACCTTTCAAAAATGCTGACTTTACATCAAGTTGGTACATTTTCCATCCTATATATGCAGCTATTGAAACAACAATCCTGATTGTTTCGATCCTCGCAACAGGCACATATACTTCATCAAAGTCAATACCGGGTTTTTATAGAAAACCTCTGGCCACCAGTCTTACCTTATACTTTGCAATCTCACCATTTGGCCTTCGTTTCACCTTGTAGATTCATTTCACATCGATTGGTTTCTTGTTGGTTCTTTCGACAAGCTCCTAAGTCTTGTTCTTCTCAATGGCTCTAAGTTCTTCTTTCATGGCTTCACACCAATTTGAATTGCTCAACGCTTCTCCCAGGTCAATTAGTTCTGCTTCAGCCATCATCATGGCTTCTTCGATTAAGTCACCATATGCATCGATTGCTTGATCTGGAAACCTCTCATATCCAATCATCCTAGTCGACTCAATTCTTGTTCTTGTGGATCTTCTTTCATTCTGCACAGGTGGTTCTTCATTTCGACTTGTCGAAGCTTCACTCTGTTCATCTTCTTCGAACACAGTTGTGACTGTGTCTGATTCTTGTCGAACTGAACTTTGACTTCAATCCAACCCTTTGCTTTCGTCTACAAGAATATCTCTATTGATCACTAGTTTATCTTCGATTGGTGAATACAACTTGTATGTACATCAGTCGAATGATAATCTATGAGCACCATGAGTTCACTTCGATCATCCAGCTTCTTTCTCAATTGTTCAGGTACATGCCTGAAACACATTGATCCAAAAACTCTAAGATGACTTACACTTGGCTTTGACCCTATCCAAGCCTCATGTGGTATCTTTTCGACCATTTTCCTCGTTGGGCATCTATTTAGAATGTATACTGTTGTCGAAGCTGCTTCAGCCCAAAATCTCTCAGGCATATTCTTAGCTTTCAACATACATCTCGTCATGTTCAGTACACTTCTATTCTTTCTTTCAGCTATGCCATTATGTTGAGTCGTATAGGATGCAATAACCTCATGCTCTATACCTTCCTCATTGAAAAATATAGAAAATTCAGCAGAAGTATATTCACCACCACCATCAATTCTTAACTTCTTCAGTTTGCAGCCACTTTGTTTCTCAGCATGCAACTTGAACTTCTTGAAATGTGTGAATACCTCACTCTTCCTTTCAATAAGGTAAATTCACATATGTCTGGTGAATTCATCAATAAAAGTAAGAAAATACATGTTACCTCCATTGGACTTTACTTCAAAGGATCCACACACATCTGAATGAACCAGCTCCAATTTTTGCCTTGATCTTATAGGAAAGTCACGTTTGAATGCCTTCCTTGCATGTTTAGCTTTGCAACATTTCTCACATATCTACTTAGGTTCCTTCACATACGGCAACCCAAGAACCATTCTTTTCTGATTGAGCATACATAAACTCTTGAAATTTAGATGTCCATATCTGTGATGTCATAGTCAGTTCTTGTCTTCTTCTGTAGTTGAAGCAAGAAATTTGTGATATGATGTGTTGAGTTCAACCTTGAACGTTTTGTTCTCCACCAATGGTGATTTCATGATTAGCCTCCCATCAGCCCTATATACCTTCATCTGATTATTCTTCAACTTCATATTGAAGTCTTTTGCAAGTAATTGACCTACACTTATCAAGTTACTTGTCATCAAAGGTACATATAGAACTTCAGTGATAGTAGCCTTTCGACCATCCTTTCTGATAATCGAAATATCTCCTTTACCACCTGATTTGATATGCCTGCCATCTGCAAACTTTATCACCTTTTCGACTGACTCATCTAACTTGGTAAACCAGTTTTTATTGTCAATCATGTGGTTGCTACATCCTGAATTCAGATACCACATGTTGTTTTTCTCAGTGGTCGACTGAGTGTTCACCAACAACAACACATCATCAAAATACTACTTCCAGCTCGTGCATATTGAGCTTCATCACTATCTTTCGAATTCACAGCTTTCTTTTTTCGTCAGTCTCTAGCATAGTGGCCAAAACCTTGACAGTTGTAACATTACACCTCTTTTGTGTCAACTTTCTTCCCAGAATACTTGTTGCACACTCCTTTCGAATCAGCATTCTTTCTTGACTTCTCATCACCAACAAGATTCTTTCGCTGCTTCGACTTCTCTTTTCCAGCTTTCTTGCTGAATCTTGATTGCAATGTTTGTTCAGTTGCCTTCTCTCTTTCTGAATTTCTCTGCTGCAGCCTCATTTCGTGAGCCTCCAATGAAGCTTGAAGTTCTTCCAACTTCATCTCAGATAGATTCTTGGCCTCTTCAATTATTACAACAAAGTAATCAAAATCTGCAATTAGAGATTTCAATATCTTTTCTATCTTTTGCAGATCCGTAAGCGCTTCACCACACGCCTTCATCTGGTTTGTTAGCGTCACCACTCTTGAGAAATATGCAGAGATAGATTCATCCTCTTTCATCTGAAGCATCTCGTACTGCTTTCTCAGAGTCTGCAACTTTATCTTCTTCAGTTTCTCATCTCCACCATACAAGGATTTCAGCTTTTCCCAAGGTCCTTTTGTTGTTTCTTCTTCAATTATCTTTACAAATACGTCACAATCCACACACTGGTGAATCAAGAACATCGCTTTTCCATCTTTCTTCCTCTGATCTTTGTGTGCAGCTTTCTGGGCTTTCGTAGCATCTACTTTCAGTTCTGATATTCCATCATTCAAGATTTCTATGACATCTTGAAATCTGAAAATAACCTTCATTTGCGCAACCCACCGTTGATAGTTTTCACCTTTTAAAACTGGTAGATTAGCTGGAAATTGTGTTGATGTTGTTGATCCGTTTGCCATTAGATTATCTCTGAATCGCAAACAAGCTCTTGATACCAATTTGTTGGAACAAAGGATTCAAGAAAGATGAATTTTAGAAAACAAGAAGAAGAAGAAGAGGAGAGAGAGAGAGAGAGAGAGAGAGAGAGAGAGAGAGAGAGAGAGAGAGAGAGAGAGAGAGAGAGAGAGAAATTGTGAGTTAGTTAAGTGTAACTAACTTTCTAACTGAATGAATTATTATTGCAGCTATATGATTACAAACATAATAGCCCTTTATATAGACAAAATGTCCAGACCCAAATACACATGATAAAAGCCCAAATAACTACATAACAAGAATTAACCAACTAACAGTAGCTGCAAAAACTTGATGGCACAACGGAGAGTTGAAGCCGCCCTGTCCATTCCTCTCCAGGCTTCAAGTTCACAGGTTTCTCTATAACTGCTGCATCTACACAGAGCATCTGTTTGTACTCCTCGTCTCCAAAGTCCACCATCGACTTCGATTTCTTCTCCCACGGATTCCACACGGCTGCAATTCAAGCACAAACAAAAGTGTCACCAATATCAAGAAAATCACCATAAAAGTAAATACCATGGATGAAAGGTGTTGCATAGATTCTTGGTATTGTTGCCATTGAAGGAACTAGAAAGACAGTGTTCAACTAAATATAGCTTACCAACATCAGGGAGACCTTCCTTTTTTATAACATAAGTTTGTTTCCTCTCATGATCTAGAACTGCAATTACATTCGGGGAGCTAAGATAAACACGATCCACCTGCTCGTAAGAAAGGATCAATTTTGAAAACACCTTCATTCATAGGCTAGGAATGAAGACCGGAAATTAAAAGCTTGACTTGTGTCGTGTAACTAAACATATAAATGACCCTTAAAATTTACCTCGGATTCAAATGTTATCGCATCTCCTTGTTCTGTAATACGTTCTTTTTGGAAAAGATTGTCCAGGTAATCAAGTGTCTCGAGACCTTCAATCCTTATCTCACTATACAGAATGTTAATGTGAGTGCTAATTATCATACTTGCAAAAAAAACACCCTACTGTCCTATCTGACTTGATTAAAATGTTAAAACCCTGAAATTTAAAGCTTTCATAAGCATTATTCATACCTAATGTCAGAAACCAATAGGTATGTGTGATATGCAAACGAGAAACTAAATGGCTTTCCGTTGATATTCCTGATTCGTGATATCAGGGATAGGTCTCCGTCTGTCGTAACAGACACTCGAAGGCGGAACTCAAAACTGGTACAATTAGGTAATCGTTAGCTTATTGTGATTTGAAAAGAAAAACAGCAATCTGTACTTTGAGCAGTTGTTTTACGGCATTCAAGATAGTACCTATGTGGCCAGCATTTCATGTCTTCTTCAGATGATTTGAGTAGCAGGTCGACAAAGGATTTTCCATTGGAATCATTTGCAGGCAGAGGAGGAGGATTCTCGTCGACTGCCCACATTCTATTTCTTGCAAATCCATGCAGCTCCAGAGATCCACAGTTTCCAAACTATTATATACAAATTTAGCTCTAAGTTATATGAGTTGTGCATGTTAGCACTTACAAAGAAGATTTGAGGCTGAATATTCAAAATACGTACCTGTGGAAAACATATAGGAATTCCTCCCCGTGTTGCTTTTAGCGCCTTCGAAATTGTCTACAGTCAATTGCAAATAAGAGAAAGTAGTAAAATATGTCGGTTTACCACTTTACATAGTAAAATTGGTTACAGGTCTATAATTTGAACAATGTGCCAAAAAGACACACCTTGCTGCTTGTGAATAGAAGTTCTTCTCCCTGCTCATTACGCCATGAAGTGATCTGTGCTCCAAGTAAGCTCACCTAATTTCAAGAAAAGACGGTTAATCTTCCTATACCACTTAAATTATAAGCTCAAACTAGAAATATATGAACAAGTTTTCCTTATCAATGATAAAATCACGACTTCATCAAATGTTAAAACTGATGCGAGAACTCATCAATCAACCAGTAGTTCTCACCCGTGCTGAAGCGCCTTGTGGAGTCCGAAGCACAACTTGACCAATACCATTCTGGTCCTTTGTAATTTCAGTTGCTGCTCTAAAGTCCCATACTGCTGCAGAATGCCCCATCTAAGTTAATTTATGTCTCTATTTCTCTACTCGCCGAGCAAAATCTACTACGTTTCTTGAATTCAGAACACGCGAAAGCCTAAGATTGTAGGGGCATCCAGAGTCCACACCTACACTGAAACAGACAAGTGAATTAGCTTTGTCAATCAAAAGCAAAATCTCAAGACAATTACTCACTTAATCTATCCTCAGCGGTATGATTCAGATCAAGGACATGAAACTATGTGTATGTGACAGTTCCATTAAAGCCCCAAAAATACAAAAACATAAACATTTGGCAATTGAATATCAATCAACCTAGTACACGCTTAAACATGTCCCTTGAAACTTGTCCGATTTAGAGCAGAGAAAGACAATATATAGGGTTAGGACCAAACTCAAGACATTGCTACACAATTAACTACTACTCAATCAAGCATTCAAAAAGTGTACTTACATTAGCAATCTTGAACGAGTAATTCTAGCAGAACCCGCCAATCTACACAAGGTCTTGAATAATAATAATAATGCATGATTACTGTCAAATGTGTTCAGAAATTCAAGCATCCAATGACAAGAAGAACCAATATCTGTTCACAAAAAAAAAGCAACAAGCCAAATGGATGAGATAGAGATAGAGAGTGTTGAGATGTGTGACAAACAAAGAACTAAAAAGTAGAAAGGTACCCTTTTCTTAGAAGTATTCAATCAAACACAAAACTTGCATATGAATTAAGAAAAGTTAAAAACTTCCAAGTTTCAACCAACCCAAGATTTGAAAAACAATAAAAAAAATAAAACTACATCATCAACAACAACTGATGATAGTATTAGGTGGCAACAATATTATGGGAAAATGGGATAAACATTGGATTTAGTACACACAACCTAAAGATAAGGAGAAAAAACCGGTTTTGTAAATTATAAACTATGCTTTGTTGTGTGTTGATTACAAAACAGATCCAATCTAAGATTACAACATGTACAAACCAACAAATAATTTAACATTGTTTAATGTAATATTCAAGTAATAATTTGAATGTATAATTATAATATTTTTGTTGAAAAAAGAGTAATATGTTACAACCAGTCGATAGTTGTTTTAATGATGATAGCAGTTAAACTTGGTAGAAGGACTACGATTTGATCCCTGCAATTATTATTAAGAAAAGATTAAAATAATTTGATGTTAGAACTGACGTCCGTATTAAATTAGTTGTTTCAGTAGGGCGAATATTAATATTTGAAGAAAAAAATTTTAAAAAAATTACACAATGTTTTGTTTGAGGTTGAAAGGTACGTTTAGGTTTTAGAGTGTGGTGGTTGAGAATGTTGTGTTAAGGATGAGCTTGAAAATAAATTTGAATGGTGGACCCCTTAGCTATCACATTATTCACATCATAATCATAGTATTATTATAAGAACATGCGTATATGTTGAGGTTTTTGCGGTTTTATACTAATGTGCTGTGCAAAATGGATTTGTGAATTAAATTCCGGGCTTATCTAAAATTTGTCTTATTTTAATTTTCTCTATCATGATGGAAATACTTGCTCAATTTTTTTTTAATTCCTAATATGTTGACGCGTGACAACTTAAAAGAAAAATTTGAAGACATTTAATTGTTTAATTGTAGAGTTATCTTTGTTGGATGTTCGGTGTAAAGTTAAGAAATTTATAAAATTATAAAAATGATATTTAACCCGATCATGTTAAACCATTATATACTAAAAATATTTATGAATTTTACTTAATTACGATTTTATTGTAATAAATATTAGATTATATGTAATAGTCTGTTGTAAGACAACGTTCTCAAAGATGTTGATACTATTGAAATTGATCATGACACTCACATCTAAGTGTGGAACATTTTAATATTATGAAATTATTTTATGAAATAAAAATACTTTTAATTAAATATTTATCTTTTTTCATTAAAAATTAAAAGAAGTTGGAGACAAAAAGTCAAGTCAAGAATTTAAAGGTGGAATCTTTGCATGTTGGGCATCTTACAGTAGTGATAATATTCTTAAAGTACCGAATCGGAGCATTTGAATTTTTGAACAAGACATCGTTAAAAGAAGAATGGTCATCACAAGACGTGGAGTCATGATTGGCCGGGTCTGGTAGTAAGTTTTATGGATTCAACTTGTCAAAACCTTCAAAATGACACTGGAAATTTCACACTTTTATCGGAAATTTTGTCAAAAATAAAAATTGGGATACAATCCTTTATATTTTTAACGAGAGTTTCAGAAATTTTGGTATTTTTATATGTATTTTTATCGAGACTTTTATAATTTTCGGTATTTATTTAATATGGTATCAGGAATTTTAGAATTTTCGATAATTCAAAAAATTGGAATTTTATTGGAAATTGCGGAATTTTCGGTAGTTAAAATTTGAAAATCGTACAGGAAATTTCAAAAATTTCAGTGATATTTAGGAAATTTCTAAATTTGCGGCAGTTCACTGATTTTTTGTGTTTTTTCATTTTGCAGTGAAGACTATGGGAAAGGACGACATCATTGTAGGCAAGACCATAAATAAAGTGGTAGCCCAAGTTAAGATTGATGAGGAAGAGTCTTCCTAGCTACGGGTTGGACGAGTAGTTCCAACTAGTGCAGTTACAGTTCTACCCACAACCAACGTCGAGAGGTTAGATTAGACAAGCGGACTAGAGATGATGTTGAGGTTGTTCATGCTCAGAAGGTGCATGGTAAAGCTTTTATTGACCCAATTGAGGTGGTCGTGGCAGATGCGGTACATGTTGATGAGGTGGCCGAGACATACGTGACCCCTATTTCTAGTGAGGTGGTTGAGACGGATCCCCCTATTGTTAAAGAGGTGATTGTCATAGATCTGGTCCTTATTGCTGATGAGGCTACTGCTACTAATGATGATACAGAGGTATAACATCTGCTTCGACAAGGCCATCTGTGCACACTAATGAAGAGATCTTGGGAGGACTCAATGATCAGTCAGTGCTTATTGAGTATGTTGGTCATGTGACATACT